CCCAGGGCACCCTGCAGCCCCTCTGAGGATGGGTCAGAGCTGTTCCTGACTCCAGCTGGGCTGGTGCAGGGTTCCTGCCTCTSCTGGGCCATACTTCTCTGGTTTGAGGTCCCTGTAGATGATCCCCAGGCTGTGCAAGTGGTCCAGTCCCAGTGCCAGCTCTGCCAGGTAGAACTTCACATCCTCCTCGGTGAACATCACCTGCAGACAGGGGGAGGAACAGAAAGGTGCTGGGTTACAATTCCAGCAGCTCCCCTGCACCCAGGCAACACCTTCCACATCCATATTGCTCCCTCTTACCCTTTCTGGGTTTTTCACACTTCACCACCATTCACAGAATCCTAAAATGGTTTGGGTCAGAAGKGACCTTATGGATCCACCTTCCCCTGTCCCAGGCTGCTCCAAGCTGGGTCCAGCCTGGCCTTGGGCACTGCCAGGGATCCAGGAGCAGCCACAGCTTTTCTGGGCATCTTTTCAGGCCCTCCCCACCCACACAGAGAACAATTCATTCCTCAATTTGAATCCAAGCTGACCTTCTTTCAGTTTTTTTGTCTTTAGATGATGCTCACAGAAGCTGCTGCAAGGCTGGCACCTTCCACCTGTGCTGCTGCTTTCCTGTCTGAGCACAGGACTCCCAAAATGCCCTCTCCTGTGCCAGCTCTGGGCTAGCAGCAGGCTGGAGGCTGTTGCCACCCTCTCAAGGACTTTGCAGGGGTCACCCACTCGTGCAGGTCGTGATCTGATCCTCAGCAGCACCGAGATGCCAGGGCATACCCACCTCTTTGGAAAGCCGAGTGAAAAGGTCACCTCCTCGGAGGAAATCCAAGATGAGGTACAGCTTCCCCTCTGTCTGGAATGCTGAAACACGAGCCAGGGCAGCAATCAGAGCCCTGCACTGAGGAAAGGCTCCGTGCTGTTCCATTAATCACYYCAATCCCAGTGGCTYCAGCCCTGCMWGCTTCCTGGGTTAAATGCAGGTAGRGCTGATGGGGTACAGGGGATGGGCTGTCCCTGCTGCTGAAATGGGAGCTCCCCACAGCACTCTGGCACTGCAGAAAATCCTCATTTCATGGGGGTTTGGTTCCCTTTCTGACACCCTCCTGAAAGGGCTGCTTTCCCAGTGACCTTACAGGGAACAAAGCTGTCCTTGCCTTCCTCAGAGTCAGAGCATTAACCCTGCCAAACTCCAGCCTGGCTAGTTAACTCCGTTTCTCTTGGTTTAATGTTTTAATCCCAGGGATTTTATATTTAAACCTCCTCTCCCAGTTGGTGCTCTGCCCCCCATTCCACAGCTGCAGCAGGAGCACAGATCCTTCCAGGAAAGGTTTTGTGTTCAGGGGATTGTTGAAAGGCAGGCAGGGTTTGCTGCAGCCCCTGTCCAGCTCCCAGCACCATAAAACGAGCTCCACACTCACCGTAGTGGAGTTTCACCACAAAGGGATGGTTGACATCAGCCAGGATGTCCCTTTCGATCTTTGTCCTCAGTCGATCCCGCACTGGGGGAGGAGAGGAGCAGCTCAGACACAGAAAAGGCCCCTGGGCAGTGACCAGTCCAGTGTCCATCCCAGTGAAAATCCCAGTGTCCATCCCAGTGAAAATCCCAGTGTCCATCCCAGTGTCCATCCCAGTGAAAATCCCAGTGTCCATCCCAATGTCCATCCCAGTGTCCATCCCAATGTCCATCCCCAGTGTCCATCCCAGTGAAAATCCCAGTGTCCATCCCAGTGTCCATCTCAGTGTCCATCCCAGTGAAAATCTCAGTGTCCATCCCAGTGTCCATCCCAATGTCCATCCCAGTGCTCCCAGTGTCCATCCCAGTGTCACCTCACCCCCACCCTTTTTCACCAGGCTGCTTTATCCCGGTGTTTCCCCACCTCCACCATCTGCTCTTACTCAGATGAAAGCAAAGGAGGTTTTTTTTGGGATGAAGATGTTTCTCTCTCACCCATCCCACCCCGTGCCAGCAGTGGCTGCGGTGACATTTCCCCAGAGCTCTTTGAGCACAGAGGATCAGAGCACTGAGGAACAATCTCCTTCCTACCTTTCAGCGTCGCCTTCTTGAGCACTTTCATGGCATACAGGTGGTTGCTGTCTGGGGGTGTTATTTTCCTCACCAAGAAAACCTGAGGCACAAGAACAACAAAATTAAACCCTGCAGCAGGATCTGGGTGCCTCCCAAAGGGCAGAGCTCAGAGTATCCCAAAGGGCAGAGCTCAGAGTTATCCCAGCCCCAGGGCTTTCCAGGAAATTGCTGGGTGTGGGCTCCTCTCATCCCCATCTCATGGTGCATTTTCCTCCTCTCATCCCCATCTCATGGTGTATTTTCCTCCTCTCATCCCCATCTCATGGTGTATTTTCCTCCTCTCATCCCCATTTCATGGTGTATTTTCCTCCTCTCCAGCCCTCCACACTCCCATGGGGCTGGAGCTGATGGTTGGAGATGCTGCCACCTCCCTGCACCACAGAAACCTCCTGCTTTGCCAGCTCCTCGGGATTCAGCTCCTGCATCCTCTGGGTTTTCCCTGTCCTGCTGTCCCATTCTGGTTTGAGGCACTTTCAAAAGGACCCCTCCTGCAGGTGGGGTTTTTTTTCCAGAGGTTTTTCCCAACTTTTCTCTGATTCTGCATTTGCCCAGGCAGCAGCACAGGTCCTGTCCCTGTCCCTGCCAGCTGGCACCTGAGTGACACCGAGCTGAGTGTCACCAGATGGTCTGGAAGGGACCTGGATTATTGAAACAGAGCCACAGAGCATTTCCTTCCTCCTTCTCACAAGGGAAACTGGACTGTGAGCAGGGCCAAACCACCCCTGGCACACAGCAGCACTTCTGAGAAGGAGGAACATGCCCAGGAACATTCCTGGAGTCAGGAAAGTGCTTTTGTTGGGGATGGTTCCTTCTGACACCCAAATAATTTCTCTGGCACAGCACATGGSAAGAAGTGACCTCACCTTTCCGAAGGAGCCTTGTCCCAGCACCTTGAGGAGCTCAAACTGGGAGGGATCAGCCTTTTCAGAACCCTCCTTCACATGGTGGGTGATGTTGATCTCCTGCACACCTTCCCCCTGGAACAGAGGGCAAGAGAGGAACCTTGTGGGATCCTGGAGTGAGGATTCAGCTCCAGAGCCACAGGAGCTGCTGTTTGTCACCGTTATCAACATCTGCATCAATGCCAGGGCACAGAGCACCAGGTGAGAGCAGAGCCCTCCCCAAACCACTGCTTTGAACTTTGCCTTTCRCTTGAAAAGCACCTTCCTTTCTGAGGCACTGAAACAAAAACAGGAGTGTTTATGCCACTAAAAATCCCACAACACAAAAAAAAAATACGGCACTGTTGTCAAAACAGGGCCAGGGCTGGCAAAAATCAGACATGTTGGAGCCCATCTGCTCRGCAATCTGAGCAACTCTGCAACATAAGTCTTAGTGCATCTTCAGCACATACAGATGATGCTTTAACAGACTCCTGCCTTCAAGAAGATTGAGGGGAAGCCAAGGTCTCTGGCACATGTTTTGTTTAAAACACATTATTTTACTTTACAAAAAAAATAAAGAAGAAAAAATAGATTGAATCAGCATAAGTAGAATAAAGTCACCGAGGGAGCTGAGCCAGCACAGCCACAGACCCCAAGGTGATGCTGAAACACCTCCTGTTCCCAGTAAAACTGGTCTGGAGCTCTGGTGAGTAAAGCCCAGAGTTCAGCTCAACAGAAACGCTTTGTGCTGCTTTTATTGCATCCCAAAGATGAGGAGACTTTACCCTGTTGGTGTCCCTCTGTGCCTTTCCCTCTATTTCTGCTGTCAGACATGGTCAATAATCTGTATTTGGGTTCTTTATGAGCTCCCACAGGGCAGGCTGGGCTTAACCTCCCACTCACTCCTTACTCCTGACTCCTACTCAGGACATAAACCCCTTGTAGCTGGACACCTTGAAAGGGCAGCTCCAGCCTCCCCAGGTCYTCACTCCAAAATCATCCACTGCAGACACAGTCTGGTTTCTTTTTTGCACCAAAGGCAGCAATTATGTTCAAAAATGCATTAAACTCTGTTCCTCAGGCCCTCAGGGAGGAGCACAGGAGCTCCCTGGGTTATCCTGCCTTTCCCTGGGTTATCCTGCCTTTCCTGGGTTATCCTGCCTTTCCCTGGGCTGGGTGATCACAGGCAAGAAGGATCCCATAATCCTTTAAACACCACATTTTGGTGCTCCAGATGATCTCCCAGTTAAAGCAGCCTCTCTGCACTGGTGATTCCATCTGAGGCTCAGTCCCTGCTGCTGTCAGAGCTCCCACCTGCAGAGCCAGAGCAGGAACCAGGCAGGATCAGCTCCTCCTGCCCGCTCAGCTCTGCAGGGACAGATCCATCTTTAGCATGGAATTGTTCCCTGGAGGGTGGGCAGAGCCTGGCACAGGGTGTGGCTGTCCCTGGATCCCTGGCAGTGCCAAGGCCAGGCTGGACATTGGGACACCCTGGGACAGTGGGAGGTGTCCCTGCGATGGCAGGGGTGGCACTGGGTGGGATTTGAGGTCCCTTCCAGCCATCCTGTGACCATCCTAGCACAGGAACGCTCTGAGATGCCATTTGGCACCTTGCTGGCACCAGGGAGGGTTTTCCTCCCCTGGACTCTGCTGGGCAGCTCCTGCAGCACACACAGATCTGCAGCACCAAACCCCTCTGTGCCACCAACAAAAACCTCTTCCCATGGCACCACCACAGCAATCCCAGGGGGCAAACAAACCAGAGTGTGCTGAGTGTCTGTGGGAAACAWCAGCCACAGGCAGGAGGGGAAGCAGAGGGAGTGGGCAGAGGGAGTGGGAGTGGGCAGTGGTACTGACTGAGCTGGAGAGTGGGCCGGGGGAGCAGGCAGCGGGCACTGGGCAGTGGGCAGAGGGCAGAGGGCAGCAGCAGCAATGGGCAGTTCCAGTGAGCGGTGGGCAGCAATGGTACTGACCGTGCTGGCGAGCAGGCCAGGGGCAGAGGGCAGTGAGCACTGGGCAGTGGGCAGTAAGCAGCAGTGGGCATTGGGCACTGGCAGTGGGGAGCGGGCAATGGGCAGTTCCAGTGGGCACTGGGCAGAAGGCAGAGGGCAGTGGGCAGTGGGCACTGGCAGCAGCAGTGGTACTGACCGTGCTGGCGAGCGGGCTGGGGGCAGTGGGCAGCGGGCAGTGGGCAATGGGCACTGGCACTGGGCAGTGGGCAGCAGCAGTGGGCAGTGGGCACTGGCAGCAGGCAGTGTGGGCATTGGGCAGTTGCAGTGGTACTGACTGTGCTGGCGAGCGGGCCGGGCGCTGGCAGCTGCAGGCAATGGGCAGTGGGCAGCAGGCAGTGGGCAGTTGCAGTGGGCAGCAGTACTGACCGTGCTGGCGAGCGGGCTGGGGGCAATGGGCAGCAGGCAGAGTGGGCAGTGGGCAGTAAGCAGCAGTGGGCACTGGCAGTGGGCATTGGGCAGTTGGCAGTTGGCAGTGGGCAGTTGCAGTTGTACTGACCGTGCTGGCGAGCGGGCCGGGGGCAGTTGCAGCAGGCAATGGGCATTAGGCAGTGTGGGCAGTGGGCAGCAGTGGGCACTGGGCAGCAGCAGTGGGCAGCAGCATTAGTTGGCAATGGTACTGACCGTGCTGGCGAGCGGGCTGGGGGCAGTGGGCAGTGGGCAGTGGGCAGTTGCAGTTGGCAGTGGGTAGCAGTACTGACCGTGCTGGCGAGCGGGCCGGGGACAGTTGCAGCAGGCAGTGTGGGCAGTAGCAGTGGGCACTGGCAGTGGGCAGCAGCAATGGTACTGACCGTGCTGGCGAGCGGGCTGGGGGCAGTGGGCATTGGGCAGTGGGCAGCAGCATTAGTTGGCAGTGGTACTGACCGTGCTGGCGAGTGGGCTGGGGGCAGTGGGCAGTGGGCAGCGGGCAGTTGCAGTGGGCACTGGCAGTGGGCAGCATTAGTTGGCAGTGGTACTGACCGTGCTGGCGAGCGGGCCGGGCGCTGGCAGCTGCAGCCTGCAGGGCTTGGCTCGGTGTTTCCTGTGCAGCCACAGCGTCAGGAACGCCCACATTCGGGGCCCTTTGGGGTCCCTGTCCATTGTCCCATCCCGATGGACATCCCTGGCCCCGGGAGCCACTGGTGCCCCGTGCTGTGCCCACAGGAGCTGCTCTGGAGGATGTGCAGTGGGACCTGACACTTATCACACTCAAGAACTGTGCTTGTGGTTGGGGCTTTTTTTCTGCTTTCGGTTTGATTTTAAAAAAATAAAAACAACCTCGCAGCTCTTTGCTGGCATTTGGGCTCCCTGGCTCAGACCAGGCACTGACAGAAAACACACAAAGTCTCACTGAAGTGATTTCCAGCTAATGCTGACTGAATTTCACGTCAGGCTGGGAGCTTTGGGGTATTCCCACAGCAGAGGAAATTCTGACAGCCACTTTCCTCTCCAAAGCAGAAGAGAAAATCTCACGAGAGCCACACAGAAGAGTGAGGRGTCCCTGCTGTCCCAGGGATGAGGGGTCACCATGGTGGGATTGCTCTGCTTGGCTCAGTCCTTTGCTTGTCCTATGCTGCACCAGAGTTCTGCTCTGGGCTCTGGAGTTATTTTGGTAAAASCCACCCTGGAAGGTCCACGGGAGGTGTTTTAAGGGCATTTCTGGCTTCTGAACCCACCGTGCCTCAGGTTAGTGCCAGGACACAGCTGAGGTGTTTTGAGGGGTTGTTTTGCCTCCTTCCCCCTCCAGRCCTGTTCCCCTTCATCCTTCCCAGCAGGACAGACAGACATTTCCTGCTGCAAGACCCCAGAGGGTGCAGGTGAGACAGAAACCCCTGAAATGAGTCAGAGACACCCACACGGAAGGAAACAGCCCCGAGTCAGTGCTGATCTCTGAATTTGTGCAGGGGATGGAGCAGACAGAGCCATTATGAGTGTCCTGCCCCCTGTGCCCCCACCTCGTGCGTTCTGAGAACTGATAATGAAAGAAAGAAATGACTGAACCCCCCTGAGGCAGCTGCTCCGGGCTGCCCTCACTGCCCACGGCTCCAGGGGCACAGAACGGGCACCTGAGCCCAGCAGGAGCCTTGGGCACATGGAACCCTCCTGTATGGGTACATGGAACCCACAGAACAGGCACAGTGAACCCACAGCACGGGCACATAGAACCCTCCTGCCCTGGGCACACTGACCCCAACAATTCTTCACGTTGTGGTACCAGCGTGGGAGAGGAGCCCCAGAAATGCCATAAAATCTCCCCTATGAGCCCAAAGTCCCTGCCCTGGCTCMGTGCCAGGATCAGAAACAACACGGAAAGGGGGCAGGCGTGGGAGGAAGGAGGAGGAGGAGGATGAAACCAAGGCCAGGATGTGATGTGAGCACCGCACCGAGCTGAGGCAGGAAAGGGTTTGGTTTGCAGAGCTCCAAATGCAAATAAAACGGGTGAGTGTCCTTGAGGGGCTGGGACAGCTCTCCTACCTTATCTGTAGAATCCAGCAGGTCCTTCTCAATCCAGGGGAGCTCAGATTTCACCTGGGGAACAACAAACAAAAGTCACACAAAGGGGTTGGGATTCTCTGCTAAAGCTTTCCCAAAAAAAAAACTTGTTCAGCCTTTGCTCCTCAGGAGGGGATCCTGAGCTGCGTGGTGATTCCACAAAATAAATAAATAAATAAATAAATAAATAAATAAATAAATAAATAAATAAATA